TCGCTGGGAATGAAATATTAGAAAACGATAAAATCAAAGAAAGCTGGGAAAAACTTGAAAATATTATAATTAACGCAGCAACAGAATCACTTGGAGGGAGAAAAGTAACGAACACTAATATACCAAAAAAGAAGTAAGCCTTTTTACAATACAGTACACAACAAATACAACAGGCATACAACCACTATAAACGAATCAGAAATGAAACGAATGCTTTAGTTGGACAAATAAAAAAGAAGCACTGGCAGAGTTTCTCAAAACAAATGGAACACGATTTCCACGGAACACAAAAAGAAATATGGAGAATGATCAGAGGGCAAAGAAAAGAGAAGAAAGAACTAATAAAAACAAAACACATTAATAAGGAAACATGGTAGACTACTTTCGATCTCTGTTTGCTAAAGGTGACGATGATGAACCACCAACACCAGAGGTGACGACAAACAAAGAAATAAATATAGAGGAGGAAGAGGTAAGGGAAGCATTAAGGAAATTAAAAAATAGAAAATCACCAAGAGAGAACAGAATACCGAACGAACTCCTAAAGTAGGGACGACCAGATCTGAAAAAACAACTAATAAAGCTAATCAAAAAAAATTATAGAACAAAACAGAATTCCTTATAAATGGAGATCAAGTATTCTAATACCTTTCTTCAAAAAGGGAGACAAATCGGACCCGGAAAATTACAGAGGAATTAATTTATTAAACACAACACTAAAATTAACAAACAAAGTTTTAACAAATAAATAAAATAAAATTATAACATTAGCAAAATAACAACAAGGTTTTAGTTCGGGAAGATCATGCACCGACGCTATATTTATAATGAGGCAAGTGCAAGAGATATCATTAGAATACAACAAACCGACATATCTAAGTTTCGTGGACATTACAAAGGTATTTGACTGGGTCAAATTAAAAGACGTTTCCCAAACGATCAAACGATTAAAACGATCAAAAATATCTACTAAAAGAACATAATAAAAGTAAAAGTAGAAGAAGAACTAACCGAGCCTATTCAAGCTGGCAATGGGATAAGACAGGAAGATTTACTGAGTCCTCTATTGTTTAACCGGATTATGAATGAAATATTGAAACAAGTAAAAACTAAAAAAGAATACCAAATGGGAGAAAAACAACTTTAAATAATCTACTGTGCCGTCAACGCAATACTACTCTCCCAAAGTGTCTCAGTTTAATATACCTAATAACATCAAATTTACTAAGATGTAAATTGGGGTTAGAACTGATAAATGAAACAATATGGAGAAATAAAAATATCGGAAAAGGAACGAAAGGCAGAATTTACAAAACAGTCATCAGACCAATAATGACATACGCGGCAGAAACAAGATCTGACACAGAGAGGACAAAAATGATGTTATAAAGAGCAGAAATGAAAATACTTAGAAAAATTGATAGTGACACACTCTATGACAGAGCTAGAAGTACAGATATATGACATAGATGCAAGGTGAAGAACATTAAAAACTGGGTAAGAAATAGAAGAGTAGAATGAAACGATCATTTAAGCCGAATGACAACAAATAGAGTAGTAAAGACGGTAAGCAACGGTTCCCAAATAGGAAGATGACCACGAAAACGATGGAATTACAACTTACTGGAGTCACATTGAAAAACAGAGACATGTCTGTATAAAAAGAAGAAGAAGAATAAATATAGAATAGAAAATACAGAAATATAGAACAAAGTTAAAATTGCAAATTAGATCGTCTCCCTTTTCTGGAATTTGGTTTATCCTGGTTGAATGAGCCCTCCTCTGGTTAGTACTGTGCGCATAGAAAGTATTTTCATCGAACAAAAATTAAAAAAACTATGGTTTTGTCAATCTTGTTCTGCTTTTAATTGCCCCACAATCTAATCTAATTTTAAAAAGATCTCCCTAGCCTCACCTTAGATAACTAGTATTGAATAAAAATATTTGCAGTTGTTTGGAAGCTAGCTGTTATTGTACTGTTTGGTTGCAAAATCACTCACACGATTTTTTTCACTACTACACTACTTATCAAAAAATCCGCAGATAATCAATATTTATTTTAGTTGATAATTTTATTACGAACCACAAATAACCTGTCTCTTCAAAATCTTGTAATCGACTTCCCGTATTTTTTTCTTTCTTTTATCATCAAAGCTGCCATATTTTACACCATTTTCTCCTCCCCGTCATAAATCAAAAAGCTCCATTCCAAGATGTATCTCTCCCACTCTTTCTTTCGACACAACCTCTATACACTCAACATATTAGCCAGCCCCGTTTGCCAACAAAATTAGTACGTCACACTGACTAAGTTGGAATTAAAGAATTAAAGAATCTCTAAAGAATTTATGTAAAATTATTATGTGAAATCGTTCTTGGAATCATTTATATTATTAATCGACACTTTCACCATTACCAATAACTTCTTATTTTAAACTTAATACCAACCATATACCTTTAATTTATTTTCTTACTTATAGTTATAGTTTTATAAATAGAAATAAAACTACTAATAATTCAATATTTTAAATAATTCCGAGATAGATAAAATTACGAATTAAATATTTTACATCAAAAATTTAAAATTAGAAATTATAACAATATATAAACCTAACAAGAAATTGCATTTTTAAAAAGATCGATAAAAATATTTCATGCTTTCGTATTCAGAAATCACAAAACAAAGAACAGCGAAAGCAATGAAGTTAATTATGTACCAAAAGAAAGTAAGTCCCAAATGTCCCATCAGCTTCGCAGTTTTGATCGTTAGCGTGTCGAAAGGTTAATGAAAAGGCATCGGGTGGAAAACTCAAAAAATGAAAAATAATTGGAATAGACTATTTTCAGGCAATCTCCTGTAAAACAGACCTGCATAATTTTAATAGAAAATTAAATTATTCACTGAATTCCTTTATATCGAGAATTGTAGTACAACAAATGTTTCATTGTTTTTAAAAATAAAAACAGAAAAATGTACACTACACTGTCTAATATATATATATATATATATATATATATATATATATATATATATATATATATATATATATAATATACATATATATATATATATATATATATATATATATATATATATATATATATATATATATATTAGACAGTGTAGTGTACATTTTATATTATATATATATATATATATATATATATATATATATATATATATATATATATATTTGTTAGTATGAGTGAGTATGTAAAACAAAAAAAGATGTTTATTAAAGCGAGAATCGTATTTGGTCTTCGTCAGTACGGTCGAGCCAAGTTAGACAAATAGCAAATTAAACTGGGAAATGATCTATCATTACTGCCACAATTGATCGCATGACTTCTGTCACAGGAACACCGAGAACACCTTCTCGGTGTTCCTCTACCTCTCCTTTCATCAACTTCTAGCAGCTCCATTAATTATTCCACATAGTTTTCATTTCTACGTCAAACATGACCAAACCATTACAGTACTCTTTTTGTCTCTCTCCAGTTTTTTGTTACACAGTCCTTCCATCTTCTTCTCGGTGTTCCTCTACTTCTGCTTTCATCAACTTCTCACAGCTCCATCCATTGTTCCACATAGTTTTCATTTCTACGTCAAACATGACCAAACCATTGCAGTACTTGTTCTTGAATTGTTTTTGAGACTGTACACACCCCTGATCAGTCATCCCTAATCAATGAGTTTCTGATACTGTCCCTTTAAGTCTGACCCAATATCCAAAGTAACATTTTTATTTTAGCTACCCCTACCTTCTTTACCTTAATCTTCTTTACAGGCCACACATCGTCATCAAAAATAAACGCAGTCTCACCACACCCTTTAATATCTTTCTTTTCAGTTCTTCCCCGACTTTTCGAACACAAAATACCCCGCTAATTCGCGTTCAGTTAAACCAATCAGCCTATATCTTATGAGCAATTTCTCGGTTAAGTATCCCACATACCTATATTCAGTTTAAAACTGCTAATCTTAAGTTCTTTCTCTTCAATTCTAAATTTAGGGACTGAGCTTACATTTTCAATAGCTATGACCACATATTTAATTTACTCTTGAAAAACCATTCTGTTCCTTTTTTGAACACAATGTTTAACAGAAAACTGGATAATATTATTACAATAGATTGGTGTATAAAAATGTGTAACTTTGGGAGATAACTCAACTACCATTCTTAATTTAAAATGCACGATCTCCTATTATTTTGACACATACCAAAATGCTTGGCTTGAGAAAACAATTCCGATTGAATATCAATTTACTTCTAGTAGAAAATGATTTAAATAATTAAATGCACCCGTAAATCGTTCGTTACTTTTATTACAATTAGTTACTGAATTGTAACGACTAGGCACCTGCCAAAGATTCATAACTTTACTTTCGGTTTGATTCTCCTTTTTCTTCAGTAGCATCGTGTCCCTCTGCAGTTTTTTGTGTATTTCGTTTAATAGATGAAGTTGGTTGCACAGCGCTTGTTGTTGGGATATATATTCTTGCTGTCGGATTTTGAGAGTTTTTATTTCTTTTTCTCTTTTAGTAACCAACATTGCCAAATGCCGCGGCATTGCCGCTTAACCTCGCGTTAGGCATACCGTCCAAACTAGATTCATCTAAAGAGGTACTGAAAGTACTGGTTGTAGTCGCTGTTTTTGCTTCAGAGTTCAGCGCTCTCGTAATGTTACCCACCACTGACTGAAGGTGTTATTTCCCTTGAAGATGATCGCATTTATTGTGAGGAATGTGGAACAATTGATCGCACGTTCGACAGTACAATTCTTCGTTATCATCCTCATCAAAATCGTCAGTAGCATCCATATCGATCTCTAACATCATATTATTCTGCCATCTTTTTTTTTCGATTTTTTGTAAGATAAGCCCTATATAATCGGAATATTTATATTGCTTTAGTTCCTCCCTATACTGCTTTTTATCTTCCTCTGCCTTTCCAAATATGGCTTTAAAAGGTTAAACTAGACCATTTGTTTCCTATAACTTAAGTGATTTCGTGAAATACTAGGTTGCTATTATTGAAGTCTTTCCTCTGTTCGTTTAGATACAAGGTATATCCAGTTGCGGGTGCTTTGTGCGGTAAATTCAAAACTTCGGGTTTCCTTGTCCTTCCTTTCGGCCACCCACCTCTATGTTTCGTCGGCTTGTCTACATCGATGGTCATTTTTAAAGGTGCCATAATAATTACGGCTTCAGTTATTGGATTTATCTTGATTTGTAACTCTGTAGGTTTAACATCATCTGTAGCAAACTGTATTTTAGTCTCACTGATACTTCTAGCAGGTTCATACTTGACAATCCTATTAGAAATTAAAGCTGAAAGTGATTTGAAGGGAGACTGCACTGTTGATCCAGATGTTGTAGTGCTGATATCGCTACACTCGCTGGAGAATACATCGCTAGCACAGTTAAAGCTGTGTGATAATTTTGCAGGGTGTGCTACAATGTTCTGTTGGAATATTGACTTGGCAGCCATATTCATCAAATCATTCACAGATAGATTTAAATCTAAGGTTAGAGTATCGTTTAGCTACATACAAATTAAGCCCTTGCTTGTATCTACTAAAATACCGTTTGTCAATAGAATATTTGCTTTATCTGTTGTCTCTCCTTCTAAATTATTTCTCTCTTATCTCTTTATCTAATTTCTAAAAAAATTATTAAAAGGTTTACAATTTGGCCCAAACATATTATATTACTTCTAATTTTACTTCACATGGTAAAAAAACCAACATCAACAAAACCAAATGTGAAAAATTAAACGTCACATAAAAGACTTAATAAAAACTTACCACGAATCAAGCGCCAAAGATAATCTAGTAAAACAAATGACCATGAGGATCTGTCTCTGTTTTGGTTATTGCGGCTCATATACATCATATATTTCGTCTTGTTTTCTTTGATTTGGAGCCCTATCTTCTCTGCTTCCTTCTCGAACCTCACGAAAGTCTCCTTCATCCTTAATCGTGCGTTTCCTATTAGATTGATATCATCTGCAAATGTCAGTAGTAAGTTTGGTCCTTCTCAATGAAATACTGTATTCGGTTTTTCGATTCTTGCACTTCTGAATATGGTTGAAGAGTTGTCCTGAAAGTGCACCTCCCTGTTTTAGTTCATTGTTTATTTCAAAATGTCTTCAAGTATTGTTGTCTAACTCTCGTCTTACATCTTAACCGTTCCATACCCATCCGTATCAACCTGACTAGTTTTTTTGGAAAGCGAAGTTCCCACATCGCTGTCCACAGTCTGTCCTTGCATACTCTATCATATGCTTGTTTAAAATCTATAAACATCTGACGAAGCTCACGATCAAACTCCCAGCATTTTTCCATTATCTGTTTTATTGTGAATATCTGGTCAATAGTAGAGTGGTCCCTTCTAAATCCGCATGGATAATCTCCAACTATTTCTTCCGTATATATTTTGGTTTTTTCTAGTAGGATGTTTGCAAAGATTTTGTAGTTCGTGTTTAGAAGTGTTATTCCCCGGTAGTTAATACATTGATTTTTGTTTCCTTTTTTGTGTAGCCCCTTCTTTTCATTTATCTGGCATTGTTTCTTCTCGCCAAATGTCTTAAATTAGCTTGTATATAGAAGTTTCAATATAAATGAGATGTATAATACCTCTTTTACTTTAAAATAAGTCTTTTTGCTTCTTTTTTTTTCAGAAAATTCAGCGTCTATTAAGTATACTATAACCTTTACATTGTTATCATTCATCCTCTCTTTTAGACCTGTTATACCTTTGTCTAGTCTCTTTCTTCTCCTTAACCTTCTGTTGCACCTCATTGTTCTATCACTTAGTTTAAACCACATTTTTTGACTCTTACCAGATACTTTTTCTTAAAGTCTAGCCAAATCTGTTTTCTTTTCTTCATTTTCTGGTGTCCTACCTGCTTTTCTTTTTGTCTTCTATATATATATATATATATATATATATATATATATATATATATATATATATATATATATATATGTATATGTATATATATATGTATATATATATATATATATATATATATATATATATATATATGTATATATATATATATATAACAATTAAATAGAACATAATATAACAATTATAGCAAATCTAATACTGACATTCTCACAAGTACTTTTGATTCTATTGAAGAGTTATATTTATCCATATTATTAAATTGAATTAGGTATCCCAGCAATATTCTGATTGCAAAGTTGAAATAAGTTTGATAAGCTTGTTAATTTTGTGATTTAAAATGCTCTTTATTATTTATTTTATAACTAGCCTAACTTTTAAAATTTGAGCTACGCAAATAATTAAATAAAATATTTTCTGTCTAACGATCAGATTTAGAGTTATGTTTATGGCAATGTTAAATTTTAGTTATTGATTATTTTTTTGTTTAACTTAGCCATGATTTTTCTATCGATAACTGAGAATTCTCTAATAATTAAACATTTACTGGCAAGATAGTAAATGATTACAACTTATCCAGAAATATAAGATAAACGATACAAACTAGAATCATAAATAATTTACCAAAAAGTGCACCACTTTGTCTTTTCTTTAAAAGAAATAAAAACTTTTAAAACCAAAGTACTCACATAAAGAAATAACCAAAAATAATAATCAAAATAGATACGTAGACAAATAACAACAAACAGTCACACCTACGTTATATGCTCGTTAAGACAGATTAGCGATTACTTATAGGTGGTCTAAGAGTAAATAAGTTTGTTAGAAAAACCAAAAATACAATTTTGTTACAAACAAGCCATATTTGCCGAAATATAGATTTAGCTGGACATATTAACTTGTATCTCACAATCAAAAATGTCAATTATAATTTGATACTTTTTTACATGTTTAGACAAAGTTTAATCTACGGTTTTCCCGATGACCTGGTAAAAATACTTACACATGGTCCAAATATTAAATATTATTTATAAAAATAAAGAAATCGTAATTTAAAATTTTGTTGGGTCATAATTATAATTATAATGACGTGTAGTGACAACATACAAAAAAAATACGGGATTACCTCTTAAAAAAAACACTAACGCTGCCCTACACTGGGTATATTTAGAAGAAAACAAAATAAAGCACAAGTATTTCTTTTTTTTTTTCATACTGACCACCATACGAAAATATTGAGCTTAGTAATTACCTGGGGAAAAATAAAAACTAACTGCGACTTTCTTTGTTTCACTATATCTGCTTTAACCAAAGACTTACGGGATCTTTTTTAATAAAAGAAGCATTATTTTATATTGAACAGTTTAATGAATTAGGCATACTACTGCTTTAATTAGTTATCATAGTAGGTTTCCCAACAATAAAAAAACTTCTTTTTTTTATTAAAAAACTTTAGTAAAAATATTAAATAAGAGAAACTTTTAATGGACTAAAATGGAAATTGTTGATACTGGGGGACAAACTTAAGTTTCTGTCCTAAGAAGTCATATCGTCGGCTTGTTCAAAAGCTGTACCGTCTTTCAATTCTCCTGTATCTGTAGCTTTTCACCGGTAAAAAACTCCCCGCCGTCATGACAATTTCAATCTAGCAGAGGAATCTGGTGTGATAGATTTTAAACAAGCATTTGATAGAGTATGTAGGGACAGACTGTGGACAGCGATGCAGGAACTTGGCTTTCCAAAAAAACTAGTCCGGTTGATACAGATGTGTATGGAACGGTCACGATGTAAGGTGAAAGTTGGACAACAATACTTGGAGACATTTGAAATAAACAATGGACTAAAACAGGGAGATGCACTTTTACCACAACTCTTCAACTTAGCTCTGGAGCACATAATCAGAAGTGCAAGAATCGAAAAACCGAATACAGTATTTCATCGAGAACGACCAAACTTACTACTGGCATTTGCAGACGATATAGATCTAATAGGAAACACGCGATTAAGGATGAAGGAGACTTTCGTAAGGTTTGAGAAGGAAGCAGAGAAGATGGGGCTCCAAATCAACGAAAACAAGACGAAATATATGTATATGAGCCGCAATAACCAAAGCAGAGACAGAATCGGTCAGAACATTACCATCGATGACTTTAACTTTGAGCGCGTTAGAGAATTCAAGTAACTTGGAACAACAATAACTGAAGACAATAACGGATCACAAGAAATAAACAACAGGATTCAGGCCGGCAACACATGTATTTTTGCCCTCCAAAACCTTATAAAATCAAAACAACTAACACGACGTACGAAGATACAGGTCTATAAAACAATCATACGACCCGTTGTGATGTATGGAAGCGAAACGTGGACGATAACAAAGGCAAATGAAAAGAGACTACGTGTTTGGGAAAGAAAAATCCTAAGGAAGATCTTTGGTCCGGTGCTTGATGAAGCATCAGGACAATATAGGATAAGAACTAATAAAGAGCTTGAAGAACTTTACCCAGACGCCAACATCATTAAAGAAATAAAGTCCAGAAGACTCCAATGGGCAGGACACCTCAGAAGACATTCTGACGAACGAACAGTAAGACTGGTGTGGGAGGAAGTCCCAACTGGAAGGAGACCACGCGGACGCCCTCGTCTTCGGTGGCGAGATAATATAGCAGGAGACCTAAGCACTATGGGCGTGAAGAATTGGATGGAGGTTAGAAAGATAGAAGATAGAAAACAGTGAAGGCATGTTGTCGAGTCGGCTAAAACCCACGAAGGGTTGTAACGCCACGGAGTAAGTAAGTAAGTAAGAGGAATCTGGTAAATCCTGCAAGCACTTTTATCATGCCATTCCTAATTAAAAACTCCCATATTAGTTTGCGTAAGCAAACAATTGGCATGTTTATTTTATTTCAAAAGAACTTAATTGTTTTCTTAAGTGATTTTTAAAATCCAATTTAAAACCTTGTTTAGAATGAAATTTGATATACCTGAAATAAAACTTTTTAAATTTACATTAAAAGTTGATTCGAATTCTGATTAGTCAAAATTACTTTACTACCACACCTACCTGAATCCGACAGGTCTTTTTTGATTTCGTTGTGAATATTCTACCAAATAGAGTACACGAGGTCCCTGCCTGGGATACAGGTGAAAACCGGTGAACGGTCACGAGAGCAGAGGATGGCTGGAAAAGTCACAATGGTCGAGAGGGCGGAAGAACCAAGAGCGTCTGATACAGAATTGGCGGTTGAAGAAAAGGTCCTTCAAACGGGGTTTGTGGCGTTGTGGCAACCTAACGCACAGAAAAACGTAAGGATAAGAAGAAGAAAAATCGCAAGATGGAAAAGCCAAGTACGGAAATACATCCCTGGGTGGAAACCACAACCATCAAAATGAAGAAAAGATAGGAATATACAAGAATGACAAGGATGAAACAAAAAGGCGACATACGTGATCAAGGAGTTTAGAGAAAGTAACAACGACATACTAGTAATAACAGAAACCAAAAAGAAATGAAATGGAATGGAAACAAGAGAAGACTATATCCACTGCTGGAGCGGAGTTAATGAAGAATACAAAGCAAATGCAGGAGTGGAGATACTAATTAAAAATAT